CTTGATGTTCGCTACTCTGCTTATATGCGTGCCGTTAATATTGAAAATTGCTTACACGCTCATACGCATTTACTCCTTTGAAGCGACGCAAATGTTAATGGCGTTTGGGAAACACCGTATCGTTGCCACGCTATGTTATTCCCGACTGGATACAAATCGTACTGGAGATTCGCTCCCGTGAGTGTTGTTGAAGATACATTTTAAAGTACATATCTACATACAATGTATTCAGTAATGAAGCATTTGAATGCAGATAATGATACTCGTGGTATGTTACGTATAAACCTCACTAATAAACGTAACATACGCAGAGATAAACCCGTATACTTGGTAAATAAATTTGTCTCGATTATCTTTCGAAAATATATATACATAAATGTGATTTCAAATTTTTATCACTTCTCTTTTATGCCATTTTACACCCGGAAAATTTTTTCGATTATGTATATGTAATATTTAAATAATATATTTTTATTTAAGAATATTTCACACACATTATATTTAGTAAAATTCTTTTACACTTTCAATTTTACACACATTTATAGGATAATAAAATTTCGAAGGTACATTATAATATAATTTGAATGAATTTTTCAAATCAATGTTGCTTGTATATATAAGGGCCTTTCTCTCTTTCTTTTTGTTCTATGGTTTTTATCTACATACAGTAATCCCGATACTTACCACTATCAGTCCCAAAGTCACTATCGTGTCGTCCCTTTCCAAGTATTTGCCGTTCAGCAGTACGGCTGATAAATCGCGGGATAAATCGAGGTAAAAGCCGATACTAACGACCACCGTCCGTCAGACTTTCTTCTCATTATCTCGTCCATCGATTATCAAGCTTCGGATCGGATATATAAATGCCACCTATTCTATCTCTATCTCTCTCTCCCTCTCTCTTTGTCGCGCTGCCGAGGAGTAGTACGAGCTATAATATTGACTTTACGGTTTAACCTGATTTCGGGTAAGCTGCGGACTCGCGATTACTAACTTTGGTAGCCCGACGGCCAATTTATATGGCGGTTCTTGTTAGGCGCGTATGTAGCGCGTGAGAAATTAATTTGACGATGAACGACAGTTAATATTATGGTGGCTACGCGATAAATTTCTGGGGTGGCCCGTCATTGCAACGCGTTATTGAATACAGACATATTACAATGTGTTACATTCGTGGCTGCGGACATTGCCGGGTGTGTTTTCACTCCGCTTTTAGTTGCGCAATTAGTGTCGTGTTTCGCAAAAATTTGAGTGTATTTTACGCGCGAGAGTTTATGTGCGTGCATGTGTGGAGAATGGCGTTTTAGCGCTTGGATAATATCGCGTTCGCCCACGGCGAGTTTATACGAGTATTATCGTTTTAACTATTATGAAAATCCATTTTCACGGACGGACGAAATTTGCACTTAAGTAAAATAGTGTTATGTTTTTAAAAAAATCGAAAGTTGCCATAGCTAATTTCTTTGCCGTCCGCAAAGATGTTTTATTCGCATCAAGCAAGAAAAATCGAACTTAATAAACGTTTCATTAAATACCTATGAAGATTGTATCGCGTATAAACTGATTGACTGTATCTCGATTTAACAATATACTTTTATAATAGCGAATTATAGTATGGTTATGAGCAGTAAAAAATGATCAGCGCAATACTACCTCTCGTCTTATCTTACTTTTTACTTTATATAATGCAATTGTAATACCGATCGTTACGGTCTGTATATAACGGTCATGCGTATATTTTCAATGGCGAACTATATGTTTCTTTGACAAGCGAAATATGAAATATGAAAGTCGATATGTAGCGTATTATAGAGAAAAATCTGCTTCTCTCTCTCTCTCTCTCTCTCACACACACACACACACACACACACACACATACACGCACACAGCTAGTCATTATAAAATGAATTCTTTTTATATTACGCCGCACGATAAAGTCTCATATTTCATGCACGAGAAAGACTGTGCATCAATTTGTTTTCCTCTATGTATGCTAGCTATCGTCGTTTCACGTCGCTAATATACTCGTTACCCGAAACGAGATCAGTTTTTAATTCATGCTCTTTCGTCGTTTATCTATAAAAATGATGCTAAAGTCTATCAACTGTACTATGTGTTACCTTTAATTACCGTAAACTCCATAATTTAAATAAAACCTCTTGTTTTTGGGGAGAATACGGGTCGGATTTAAAATTCTGGTGCATTTCAAAATGAAACGTTATTTTTAACATTATTTTATTATGAGACTATACAACACACGCAAGACAGACAGATAAAACAAATTATAATTCCATAAATACATAATTGCGAAAAAAATGGTTTTAAAATAAACGATTAAAATAAAGCAGATTAAACGCGATTATTCTTTTCACGAATAACTTCTAACATCTAACAATATATTTAAGTATAGAAAATAAAATTGTGTCTTAAACGCAGAGATAAGTTTAATATAAATTCAAGAATTAATATATTAAAAAAATAGAATCAACAATTTCGAGCTCGAGATCTCGAATCGTTTCGTGATCTGATCGGGTCACGTTCCGTAGTGTATCACAATTTCAAGTTCACGTCGTGATCTGTGTGCGCGATAGCCGATGATTCGAAATAAAATTATAGTTCCAAACTCGTTTGCCATCCAATTAATTTCTTTGGGGACATCTTTCACTCTTCCATCTAACTTTTGCCACGTCGTTGGCCGTGCCCCGCACGACATTTTCGGCAATTGTTCACGAAGACGTGAAGAATATCGGCGCTGATTTTCACACGGCGGGAGAGAAAAAACGTAAGATTAATGCACATCGAGAGTCCTCTCGGAGAAAATTTTATCTGCGATGCAAATTTTTTTTTCCTCGAAGCAATAAATTTTGAGACAGATGCGAGACCTTGGGTTGAAGAGACAAAAATGTATTAGGGAAAAAATGTAATGCTAGAGTATTCGAGTTGTGTCAAATGAACGCGACAACTTTGAAATTCATGATCTATAACTGGATCTTATGCATTTTCCCAGCATTGTAAGTTATGCGCTACTCTCGGACTTTTTTTCTGTGCATTTGTGAATGTATTATTATAGTGTATCACTGTAGCAGCTGAGAAATTCTCGTATCTTCCACTACTTTACGATATGAAGTATCTCTATTTCTCTTTATGAATGTAGTGTATTTCGCAACTGTCATCACTACTCTTTTCATTCTTTCGGGCTTTTCGATCGATATAGAGTCGCGATTCCTCTCCGACTAAAATGCACTTTGAGCTTTTGCGTAAGTTTTTCATCTTCAAGGTTAAAGAATATCTCTAGAAATATTAAATTAAAATCTACATACAATATTACTACGTATTAGAATTATTCAAAAAGTCGAGGTTTATATTGAGTACATCAAGAAAAAAGAGAAAAAGCTAGAACAAGCCAGATGCCTTTTTTTGATTTAATAATTTATATAGTTTTGTAACGGCGTAATATCGTTTTTATAACACTTTATAAATTTTTCTTTTTTTTTATTATAATAATAATATTCTATTCTCCTGTAAGATAAATTAGAAAAGAAACAAAAATTAAATATTATGAAAAAATAATTATTAGAAATACGTTTTATTGTAAAATATTAATCAATTTAACAATATATATTTGGGCGATAGCATCGCGTTAATATTATCGCGAATATCGCGGTAATTCGATGCGATGGAGGGGAATTGATTTCGCTTTCGCAGATCGGCCGATGTACGTTCCGATCCCATTAATGAGCCGCATCGGGTGCGTTCGAGTGCTTCTTAACGATGAGGAGGATCGTGCACCGGCATGCAGAAATATCGGGACACACGATCGCGGTAGGATCGTGCTCTCGTTTGGGAAAGGCGGCGGTAGCGGCGGCGGCGACGACGACGACGGTAGCGTAAATCGGCCCTTTCACGCCCTTTCACGGACAAGACGCTTTCCAAACTAACGTGAAAGTGCATTAAGCGACGAGCATTAGGCGTATTAATAATTTCGGGATTCGGAAACTCTCGGGAAAAGCCGTCGAAGTGCCGTCGATGCATCTACGCGACGTCAAGCATTAAAGCAAGGGGATCCGTGCCGTTGCACGTGTGTGTACACAGGATATCTCGGGAGAATATGACGTACTTTCCTAGAGAGATGTTACAGATCGATGTAAAAAGAATTAAAACGTTTATATATTATAATTTTAACATTGTGCACGCAGATAGCCAAACTTCCTGTTTTAATCAATTTTGGAAATGCAAATTTTTTAAAATAAAATAAATAAAAAAAATTTATTATCACATACTTATTGCAATGGTATCGACATTTTTTTACGTATTTGCAATAAAAAATGTTATATATAAAATCACAATATCTGTTTTGAACGTTTAGTAAACTATAGTAAAAGAAAAAAATAAACTTTAGTGAACAAAATAGTCAATTTTTTTTTTTCAGTAAATCAGTCATTTCAAATTTTTTAAGTAAGACAATTTTTTGGCATAGATCTATTCTAATCATTCTGCATATAAAAGTTTTAAGATAGAATCATCAAAAAATGAATAGTTTACGAGATATTTTTTATAATTTGTTTTGACATACATATTTTGTGACATAAAATATAAAATATCTTGTAAAATGGTTACACTTTTTGACATTTTTTGCTGCGGTTTATTGCTCATTCGAAACAGATACAATTTTAAATATATATTTTTTATCAGTTTACCGCAAATGCGTAAAATAACATTACGAGAAAAAATAGCCCGTGTACGTTGTAGAAATATTCAGGGGGAAAAAAAAAAAAAAAAAAAATGTCGGGAAAAGAGGCGATAAAAAATCAGAATATAGTTTCTACAAAATTAATTTTTCACGTTAACCCCATTTCTTCCTCTCGAAGTAAATATCAATCTTAATTCTTCCGACGCGGAAGCCAACGCGAAATGAATTTATGGCAGGGTGAAAACGCGTGACCGTCTCTTGCGACATTCTTCATATCGATTCAAAGCTACTTCGGTGAAGCGCTACTTACCGTGGTAGACGCGCTGGAACTTCTGTGTTGTTTCACCGGCGGACTACCTTGACTCGTCTGCATGTCGGAAGAATTTAATTGACGGTTCACTGCGGGCGCGGCCGGATGCTGCGAGGCCGGCGGCTCCATGTCGAGATGGCAGTGCACCTCCAGGTGAAGTTGTGCCCTTATCTCCTCCAAAACAATTTTGCGCGCAGCGCAGAATATTTTATAGTACACCTGCGACACACAATTAATGATCCTTTAATCCGCGTGCCGCGCGCTCGATATATATATATATATATATCCTCTCGTCTCGATAAGAAATTATCTCGTTGTAGAGTATCGATAACGGACAGAGGGAGGAAGAGAGTTCGATCGGTTGTTAGAGGAGTTGCTACAGTGAATGCGGCAAGCTCCTTCCAAGAAGGTCGACGAGCTGCGTAGTTCGGTGTGGCAATTAACGTCAGTAACAATCTCTCAGGTATCGTTAACGACAAGCCGGTTACGACTCGGCGCGAGATACAGTCGCAAGACGGGTCCATTTAGTCTTACTTAGTTGGAGTCTTAAATTCAATTAGCCTCCATATCCAAGGGACGGTGTCGCTTAATTTACCGCGCGATGACATCGGGCCGGCTTGTCGCAAGGAATACTACTTGCAACGGAACACTCGCAACAGCAAACACGACCGATATTACGACGATATGAACGCGTCGACGCGAGTATCGCGAGTGATGCTGGGATACATATTCCGCAGAGATCGCGTTACACGCGAGATTGCATTATACGATTGCGCGAACGGTTTATGAATATATTTTAATTCGCACGAGCGAATGTAAAACGATCGTGGGGGAAGTGTATAGGTACACAAATTTTACCGTGTATCGCGCGTGCGACGGAATTTCCACGAACGCTATATTTTATGCATGCAATTTTTCCTTCGTGGTGAATAAAAGAGCCGGCGCACGTATAACGAGTAATGCAAATAACGGACAACACGACGATGCGCTCCGATAAATTACCGTAGCCGGGAATTGTCACGAAACACGACGAAACAATTTTACGCCACGATGACGGCGTAATAACGGGTATCGCAAGATTTTAAAATAATTAAATAATAGAGTATATATACACGTATACTCTTTCTTCTCGTTATTACGGTAATAAATATTAAACGACTATATTAATGCTATCGTATCCGTATGAGAACGAACAAACGTAGAAACATGTGGCACGCGATGTTATGCTAATCCATCGATCTTATTCGATATGAATTTATTCAAATGCCGGATTGAAGTTTGTCTGTGGATTCCCGCGTATTATGGGCGGTAAGAAAATTTCTAGCTACCTCGCGTTTCCAGGAAAAGTGTTGAATATTAAACATCTCACGATCCATCACGATAAATATTAAAACGCGCAAGAGATGATGCGCGCACGACAAGATATACGCACAATGGTTACATAAATTACGCCTTAATAACTTGCAATTATCTTGCACCAATCGCTCGATCGTTAACGTGTTAATGTTGTCCATCAACGCGAAATAATTTTCTCCCGCAAGTGCCATCTAGTTTACATTGTGTAATTTCATCCCGATCTCTCCGCCTAGGGGGATCGAAAGTGACTCTTTCAGTTCGCTAAAATGTTGCACGCGCGATGAATTTATCTTTCCGGATAATCGTAGAATCGATAACACACAACCGCGCGCGCACATACACATATACACACACAACTCGTGACACGTGCTGTATGTGAGAGAGTTATAAAGCAGGAAGGTTCGTATGAATTAATGAAAACCCGCACAACAACTGCGTTCGGTCGCTATCGGCTATGAGTTAATTTACGTTGAGGGTTTTGTCAAGCAAAGTCAATAGCAATCTCCTCATTTTTAACCACACTTGCGCTTTTGTTCATTAGCTTTTTGTTAGATGAAAGTATGATTTTCCGGACGCGCGAATCCTATTATCCGTTGTTGTATAAGATGTCAATAATTACATTCTGAGAATAAAATATGAATTATCGCAGCAAATATATTTTAAGTAATTTCGAATATTATAGTAAAAATATATATATGGAAATATATATTTTAGATTTAATCTAAAAGTATATTTTAGAATATTTATACTTTTTATACTGTATATATACTTTGATACATATAGAAGAGTATTACATAGAAACATTCAGAATTTTTTTTTCCTACGATAATATTGCAGCTTTGTCTTTAATGTAATTTTTAGTTTCCATATGCGTATTTGATCTTGTTACGGTAGATTCGATTGTAAAATTATATCCCCGCTGAGAGAACTCTTCGCGTATGTGGCTTGCAGTGTAAAGTTTGGGATACGATGATTAATCGTATTAACTCTTTACTCTTCCGCCTTAACTCGGGGAGATCGTAATGGCGTTGCAACGCTATGCATACCGGGTATTCTCTCGTGGGAGAATCAGAAAATAGATTTTAAACATTTACAGAGAGAGAGATATATATATTATATAGGTGCACTTTGTTTCAATGCCACACATTCCGCGGGGTAGAAAGCTCGTTTAACATTGTTTTAACTTGTTATTGCCCCCAAATATTTGATAACATAAAATGTTACAGAGTTACAGTTACAGTTACGGTTTTCTACTATTCCAACAGTAATATAACAAATATTACAGACTAATGTGAGTTGTGATTATAACTCATAGTTTAATAAAAAATATATATGAAAAGATTGTATGTTTAACAAAAATTTTATAACACAATTTATTTATATTTTTATCTATTTAATCATTTATTTAGATATATAAGAAAACATTTAAAAAAAGGACATAATTATTAAGAATAATAAAAAAAGTTTATATTTAATCTTTTAAAGTTTAACTATCTAAGATTTTATGGTAAAAATAATATAAAATAATAAATAATCTTGTATAATATATATAATAAAAATGAGAAATAAATACTTGTTAGCTAAATATGCGCATACTGACCTGAATCATGACGAACAGCGGTATGTAGAAGCTACCGAGGGTCGCGTAGATTTGGTAGAAAAAATTCTGGCAGACCGAGCAGTGCGAGGGCCCGGTTTCGGAATAGGTGTGCTCGTTACCCATTATCAGCAGGGGCGGCAAACTGATACAAGCCGCTCCTAACCAAACAAGGCTGACGTAGATGATCATCCGTCGCGTCGTCCTCTTAATCCCGTATTGTAACGGCTTCGTGATGGCCCAGAATCTTGGACATACATAGGAAAAGCGAGAGTGACGGGATGGAGAAATAAAGAGACAGTCGGGAAGGCTCGTTTATACACTAGCTAACTAAATAGGGAAATAAAATCGACAAGATCTGTCGTGTTGTAAGATGCTCGATGGGCGAAATAAAGAGATCGTCGGCGACGAAACCCAATTGTTCTCGCTCCCTTCGTTCGCCTTCGTGTTTATTTCGGCGTATATAAACAACAACTGTCGATGGTGGCGTGTAAGCTTCGTAAAGGATTGGCAAAGGTTCTGTGTTTTGCGCAGCAATTAACCAAACTAGCGAATTCAAACGGCGGAAACGAGATTGGGAAACATCTCGCGGTAGTATTCGCGGAAAACAATGGCGCAATCTAAATCTGACAGAACGGGTTATCCGTTTCGCTCTCTGGTATTCTACAACTATTTCAGTCGCGTCGTGGATAAAACGAGTTTGCAATAAAATATGACGGCGAAGAAATACAAAGAGAAAGAGAGAGAGAGAGAGAGAGAGAAAGGAAGACTGTCAGTTACGTATCTGTGTAAGTAGGGTAATGTACAATGGACCCGGCTCAAACCCGCATATTCGAACGATGACATTTCCGCCGCAGGGGCAAGTAGGACAGAACGAAATAGGCATGAAATCGGGTAAAGGGCCGAATGGATTACTTGATTGGCCTCTGCGATCAATCACCGCAGGTTGCTAATGTGCGAAAACGCTTATTATTTATTCTTTGGATGCCTTCTAAAGCTCAAATAGCGGTAAAATAATTTCGACAAATTCATATTGAATAAAACAGAGTTTAAGATGTCTCTGTAAAAATTATCTGGAAAAAGAAGGAAATATTTTATGATCGAAGATATTATAGGAATATCGAAAAAACGCGCTTACATTAGTTTTGCAGAAATGTGGTTTTATAAAATAGGACAAACGATTCCGCGCGATATCCACAATTAAAAATTTTAATAATGCGCAACGAACACGGCACAGTTCGCTGCGACAGCGTCGCTCAGCGTTGATCGCATTTAACCGCTTTGTCTTGTACCATCAATATTATAACCAACGCGGGGATGGCTAATCACGGTTAATTAACCGGAGCTGTCGACAGCAACCCTCACCGACGAACGCGCCGCATGTCGATTTGCTCACCCGTGATCGTGCGTGTTGTATTACATTATCTTACATTCCGCGATGTGGGAGGGTATCCGGCTAGAGAACGTTAATCAACGAGGCAATTTCGATTTTCGTGAGAAACCGAAACTTGAGCCGTGACTCGCCAAATATCCGGATATCGAAGAGAGAGAGAGACGAGACGTCGGAGTCGGTGGAGGATTAACTTGTTACTCACCGGTCCACGGATATCATGCAGAGATTGAGGATGCTGGCGGTGCAGCTGAGCACGTCGAAGCTGACCCAGAGATCGCACATGAGCGAGCCGAAGGACCAGTTGCCCGATATCTGGTATAGCAACGCCATCGGCATCACCAGAAGCGCCACGCAGAGATCGCTCACCGCCAAACTGACCAGCAGATAGTTGCACGGCTTCCGTAGTTTCCTAACGAGGAATACCGCCACGCACACGAGAATATTGCCTATCACCGTCCCGACGATGATGCTGCCGAGTACCAGAGCGAGGGCGATTGCCTTAACACACCAAACGCATTTCTACAGAATCGCGGCATGTCGTACATGTAAAGCTAAGCAAACCGCATGATTGGTGATGCAAACATACGAGATCCTCTTAGCATGTCGGTGAGATGTTTATTTCACATATCTCTGTGGAATTTCGGTTTGTTTTAAATCAAATAAATCTACATATATATTTAATCTAATAATCTTTTTATTATATAAAATTTCTAATTACATCGCAAAATCAAACTAAAACATTTTAAAATTAAATACGTTATTTTTTATTATATCATGAAATTAAATAAAAACATTCTCTCTAGAATCAAATCAAAACCAAACAATTAAATTTATTTCTCTCGATTGTATACAAAGCTAAAAAATTACAGCCACAAATTATTAACAATTGAACATGTTAATATTCTTAATATTAAAATTCTGTTTCGCGTTCGCGATTCAGTTAATCCTAATCGCGTATTTATTTTGCTTTTTCTATTTATTATTTCTTTAGTATTTCCTTCATTTCCCCATTTCTTTCGTGCAAATAAAAAAAATAAATAATATATGTCTCATATATTTATTTACAAGGATAATAAATAATTTTTATAATAATGTATAAGAATGTCTATTACGGTTATAAGACTTTTATTAAGCATTATATTTCCTCATCTCAAAGTATTTTATAAAATATAGTAAAATTAATATTTGTTATAACAAATGTTAGGAGAACGAAAAAGTTAAAAGCAATAATTAAAATATTAAATATACATAAAGTTTTTACTTTTGAAACCGACACATATATCGCTTGTTAAATAGATAAAACTGAGAAACAGAGACTTTCTCATTCATCTGTAATTGCGGGGGGAGTAAGAGGTAATCAATTTCACAGATAGAGCCGATAAATTCCGCAGTGTTCTGGCGTGCAGCCAATTCCACGTGTTAAATATATCGCATTAATAGAAAGTGATGTATTTCCAAATAAAATTAATGGGCCGCGTGATCTGTGTATGTGTGTGTGTATCTTGTTAACTTATCGCGCGAGAATTCTCGCTTTTGCTTTTCGTTATGGATGTATGTGTATTCTATTAATTCGCATTACGGGAAAATCGAAACAATATTCCATACAAAATGTTTGAACTTTCCAACTATGGCTTTATTACCTTCAGAATTTGCATCAACAATTCGCATTTGCATTCCGTTGGATACTACAATGCAATGCATGCTTTATTATACTGTATATGCAGTTTAATCTGGGCTTCCCGACGCCGGTATTAATACCAATTTTGGAAACATGCAGGAAATGTTGCATCGCGTTTTACAGCGTATTAAATATAGTCATATACATGAAAAAACAGTATATGCAGAAAGAAGATAGATGCGCATTATGCAAATATAGTATTGAGTTTAATGCGTGATATATCAATCTTTCTAATGCCAAAAATGAGATATTCTCCAACGTTTTAACCCCCTTGTCGAGCGCAATCTCGGAGGTAACACTCGCGGAGTACATAAAGGTGCACGAGTGTCGTATTTCGTAAACGCCAGCAAAAGTCAGGTAATAGTATCGGTAAGCCTCAAGTAAGCTTAATCGTTTGTCGTTCGCGCAATCTCCTAATAATCAAGAGTTGGTGGGAACGTTACCGGAGACGACGAGGCGACGAAAATACGGCAATAACTTTGTGTAGCACGTCAAAGCAACATGCATCGTTTCTCCGGATTTGCGCAACAACTGCAGTTGACATAACGGATTATATTGTCATGCATGCAAATTAATGTAAATAAGCTTTGCATGCAGAATATATATATTAATGAATATATTGAAGTGTTTTTATTAATAGATCGCATTATGATAAATTTATTAAATTTATGAAATTAATGTTATGATAGTGAGAGAGAGAGAGAGAGAGGAGAGGTTGATAATTATGTCGCACCAATTTCATGCATCGTGAAGTGAATTTCTCATCGAATTATGAGAAGAATATGTTTAAAAATAGAAAAAACTAATGATACGAGTTATGTGTTACGCAAATATTTTTGCAGTGTTCATTCGAAAACATTTATATGTATATGTTGTAAAAGCGTCCTGGCTATTTACTGAAAAATAGCTTTTTGCATGTTTTTACCGTTTTTGCCGGTTATTTTTCCATAGATTATCGATTAATTCGCAGAGCAGCGCGAAATAACATGAATACAAAAAAAAAAATGAAATATTGCATGTAAATACAAATCTCTAAAGGCAATATTTTTTATCATCAAACGTAATATGATTAAACCGGGAAATATTTGGGATATTTCATATTTTTTACTGAAAACATAGTGTATATTTTGGTTTACCATCTGTTATTATCATATGTAACATTTTCAATCGCGAATTGCTCCTAGACGCGAGAGAGAACTGTTTTCCCTTAAATATTTTCTTAGACTTAAAAAAGCTTTCTCTGTGAACCAACACTAACTAAAGTAAACCGTCACAAAAGTTATATGTTTGTCGAGATAAACAGCTAAAGGGAAGAAGGAACCATTTTAAAGAATTTAAAAAGTAGTTATCTCTTGTAAAAGTATTAACAACATTCTAAATTATTAATATATTTCAAGAAGATCGTGCGAAATACTTTATATCAAATTTATCAATCAACAATAGAGTCTCTTGAAAATTAAATGGAAGCCAATTCTAACTCGTAACGCGCCATTCTTTCAGTTCTCTTGTTTCTGTACACTTTCTTCCGGTCTCGTTCGAAGGAAGGATTTTATTCTAGAATGCAATAATAAATATCTCTCGTCACTCGCTCGCTCTTGCGAGGCGCTGAGAGCACTTATCCCTCTCACAAAAGAAAGCTAATAATTCGTTTGGTAGCTACGGTAGCTTGGCCACGCGTCGCTTACCTGAGTAGTGGTGTAGGGTGAGTTTTTGCCGGGGAAGACCCAAAAAAAGGATCCGTCGCCTCGTGTGGCGTTGTGAGTCGTGAAGTTTAAAGACAGGTTGCCATCCGTGGTGATTACGTCCTGCCCCTCCATACGACGGCCCTAGCCGGAAGTAGTCCGGAGCATCCCAAGAGCCCCCCTCGCCGACGACTACGTCATGCTCCTTCTCTCCTCTCGACCACGGGATGCCGGGCAAGTTCGCGGCGTGCATGAGAATCCTTGCCTCGATTCCGATACGGACTCAGCAGCGGTTCTCCCTTATCCCGCTTAAGGTCCCGACCGACCCTTTCACCCTCTGCAAAATCACGTTCCATCCCGTGACTGACGAGCCTATCCGAGACAGACGGAGCAGGCGATGCGACATGGACAGAGTTGCTACGTGTACAAACTCGGGAATTCCGAGAAACCCTTGGCGTGGAGATGATTATAATCCATTCGCGAGAGAATATCGTTTATTTTTATTTTTAATGTATTTCTTTGCTTTTCATTTCAGTATGTGTAACAATATCTGCTCGTCGCTATTTTATTTTAATCGACATATTTTATTTTTAGAAAGCGGAAGTTTTTAGAATTTATGTAGAATTATAAATGGTTTAAAATCTGATGAAAAATTATATGGAAGTCTCGTGAAAACTTGGCGTCTAATTTGTTCTCAAGAAATTTCTTTAGTTTAATGATTAAAACTATTTCTCTTCAAACTATATCAAGAACTGTAAAATTATTAAAAATAAAGCTCTCGATCATTTATTTTCAGAAAATGATACGCCAATTTTGCGCTCATCTATTCTTGTTATCGTATTTATATAAAAATAACACACTAGATGGGATGATTATATAAATTTTCCATCTCAGTTCTCTATTATAGATTATGCGCTGTTTGTGGGTTTTTCGGATTCGTAGCAACCCTGTCAGAGCGGTAAACACCATAAAAGACAAAAGGCATTTTCCTTACGTAAGAAATAAGGATATTGGCCGGTGGCGGATAATGGCGCCCCTGTGAATTTTCCTCATTTTTTCGCTGTCCTTTCGGTGGACCATGGCCGCCGATTCAGGAATCCTCGGAAGGACGGTAGAGGGTAATGGTACGAACGGTGAAAATTCAAAAGCGTGCGACCGTATTCGCGCAGGACGCCATTATCGCACTCTACGGAATAGGAAGCTATAGTACAAGTCCCCGCTGTAATCTTGCAGCGACGAGCGGTGGCGACGGCGGCGTAAATTGCTGACTTAAAACGATTTTACAATGAAATTCCGCAGCTTCCCTTCGTTTCGCCGCGCTGAGATGAGAGAGAACGCGCGCATTATCGTTACGACGGTGCTTCCCGATGGGAAACGAGAGAGTGTCGCGGGCGAGTGTCTCGTCGTCCACAAGTATTGATTGGAATTGAGTATTTAATGGCGAGGGAGTGTTTCGAAAGTTCTAGGAGAGACCAGACACTGCATTCCGGCTCGAAATTTTGTATATGTTGCCGTCGACGAAATAGTTACGGGAGATTCGCGGCGGTCATTAGTGACCTTTTCGTCGACGAGCTAATTATTTCGCCGACTGGTTTATTGGATTCTGACGCCTAGTTATAGCGCGGAATTATTATATCGTGGAAAATTATCACTATCGTTTTACGTTGGACTTGAGAATCCCACTTGACGCTAACGACTCGGTTATTTGATTAGTTGGCATTTTACGCGCGAAATTTACGACTCTTGAACGTCATAACACGCGACATATATATATATATCTTCGGAGAAGAGCACAAAGTTTTTATTAAGCATCTACAAAAGATAGATATTCGCAAACACGAGATTTTACTCCATTTTTCAAAAGACCGAGCACGCGAATCGTATCGAATTATTCGATTATACGGTCAATTAAATATTTTATTTAAATCGATAAAGTTAAAATTAGATAATCAAGATAGAATCGAGCGCGAATTATAAGCCATAATTATAACGCTTGATGTTAAAAGGATGAAGAAAAATATAGAGCGCGCATTGTGCGGTTAATCGCTTCGGAGATTGCATGGTGAAAAATATTTTGAGATATCAAATCAAAGTGCACGCAAAGCGTACATTAGGCGGCACTTTATGAAGTAGAAGAAACTTCTATTACGTTGACGTGCTAAGCAGTCACGTGCTCCAGTTATACATATATAACACGCCGAGATCTATGAAAACATAATTCCTTAAATTGCTCCGGCAAATCAGATTGCATCTTGGAATACGAGATTTAAACGCATATCGTGTATATGTTTCGCAAGAAGAAATCGGGTTACAACTTATTAAACTTTATAGCGTCCTTTATACCGCTCCTTTATTTCAAAGTAATGTTGTGACTACGTTGCATAACACACGGTCCGATAATAATTGAGAATAGTTAGGACGGAAGTTAGTTAGTAGCGGTAATTAGTCGGGTGACTTTATAGTTGACCTTAGAGCGACAATAGACTTAAGATGAACTGCACGTGGATAACGATAAAGTTTTGTAATTAGCAGAGCATTACATCACGAACTTGTGTCTGACTGACTAAAATGTCTGATTGGATTTGCAATGAATGCGGCAAAGTTCTTTTCTAAAACGCGGAATAGACATGCCCTCACGGAAAAAAAAATTTTCGCTATCATAGCTAATCATGGTTTGCAAAATAAATTTCTAAACTGCAGCAAAACGGTTTGGCAAAGTTCTTTTCTAAAACGCGGACTAGACATGCCCTTAAAAGAGACATTAATCATTAAGTTTTTTTTTTAAATATCTTCTAAACCATACCCGTAAGTCAAAAAATATCCTTGAAATAATTTTCCGAATATCCTTAAATCCTTTCTTTCGATGGTCGAGAAAAACCATTGCCGTTCGTTTATCGGAAAAGTGCCGACGATCTCTTTCTTATATCCGAAGTAATGAGGTCGAACGAGAGATCGCGTCACATAATTTTGCAGAGATGAAAATTAAATCCGAACCGATAGTCGACCCATTGGCTATTTCAATCTCTTGAGGATTGAAGAGCCGTGCTTTTATTCTATCTGAAATCGAATAGAGAGTGAACACTGTATAATAGTAATAATTACAATTCGTATGAATTCATCAAGATTCGTAGAATATTCTTCCGGCTTGTATCCGACTTAGAAATATAATGGCATACGAATGGAGGAATACGGAGTGGAATTATATTACGTAATCGGATTAACGGAAACAATAGCCGAACAAGTAACCGTTCATTCTGTTAGAGCTAAATCACGATAACCGTTCTCTCGTATTGTACATAGAATACCCGCAATAAAAATATAAGCTATAGTAGTGCAGTTTTATAGCATTATTAAAAAGTATCAGAGCAAAAATATTAGCAAGGTAATATGTCATAAATAAAATATTTAAATTGATATTTTTTCGATAAAATAAAAATGGCTCGCTATATAATAAGATTTGTGGAATAAACGTCAAATAAATAAGAATAGATAAGGAGCAAATGAATAAAACAACTCGCGGAGTAATCTCCTATCTGCGTATCAAACTCGAATCTCTGTTTAATTCGCCTGCTAAAAGAAACAAATCAGAACGCGCTCGCCTGGCGACTTGTGTGTAAGAAAAGGGAAGAGGAAATTAAAGTGAATTGAATTTCACGCAAACTTTTTTCCGTCACTTTGCGAATCGCAATGTTCCGTTCAGTAATAGTAGTAGTAGTAGCAGTAGCAGTGGCATGAAATTACAAGAGTTGTCTAATATAAATGAAAATTATATGAAAAATTCCTGATATATATCCTTGGCGATTCGATACACGTTCTGAACATATTCTCGTAACACACAGCGCCGGGTTTTAATTTATTTGATATGTTTTTGCCGCGTAGAGTTTCCATCGTTCGCGACTACCATGAGTGATCGTCGCCCGTGTGTTTGCTCGTTTTTCTACACTGTGTGTTTTCTGAACTGTTCCGCGCTTGTCTCAATGTTTCGGTATAAATTGTTCGCGCATTTCGCTTTGCCACTGCCGCGCAGAATGCACTCTCGTAATCGTCGACGAACATTCCCTATGTAATCGGTGAAATCTAGTTACCACACGCAGTTTTTAGCTACGGCAGCTAATTTTTTTTTTCCGTGCTTAAAAGAGACATTAATCATTAAGTTTTTTCTTTAAATATCTTCTAAATCATACCCGTAAGTCAAAAAATATCCTTGAAATAATTTTCCGAATATCCTTAAATCCTTTCTTTCGATAGTCGAGAAAAACCATTGCCGTTCGTTTATCGGAAAAGTGCCGACGATCTCTTTCTTATATCCGAAGTAATGAGGTCGAACGAGAGATCGCGTCACATAATTTTGCAGAGATGAAAATTAAATCCGAACCGATAGTCGACCCATTGGCTATTTCAATCTCTTGAGGATTGAAGAGCCGTGCTTTTATTCTATCTGAAATCGAATAGAGAGTGAACACTGTATAATAGTAATAATTACAATTCGTATGAATTCATCAAGATTCGTAGAATATTCTTCCGGTTTGTATCCGACTTAGAAATATAATGGCGTACGAATGGAGGAATACGGAGTGGAATTATATTACGTAATCGGATTAACGGAAACAATAGCCGAACAAGTAACCGTTCATTCTGTTAGAGCTAAATCACGATAACCGTTCTCTCGTATTGTACATAGAATACCCGCAATAAAAATATAAGCTATAGTAGTGCAGTTTTATAGCATTATTAAAAAGTATCAGAGCAAAAATATTAGCAAGGTAATATGTCATAAATAAAATATTTAAATTGATATTTTTTCGATAAAATAAAAATGGCTCGCTATATAATAAGATTTGTGGAATAAACGTCAAATAAATAAGAATAGATAAGGAGCAAATGAATAAAACAACTCGCGGAGTAATCTCCTATCTGCGTATCAAACTCGAATCTCTGTTTAATTCGCCTGCTAAAAGAAACAAATCAGAACGCGCTCGCCTGGCGACTTGTGTGTAAGAAAAGGGAAGAGGAAATTAAAGTGAATTGAATTTCACGCAAACTTTTTTCCGTCACTTTGCGAATCGCAATGTTCCGTTCAGTAATAGTAGTAGTAGTAGCAGTAGCAGTGGCATGAAATTACAAGAGTTGTCTAATATAAATGAAAATTATATGAAAAATTCCTGATATATATCCTTGGCGATTCGATACACGTTCTGAACATATTCTCGTAACACACAGCGCCGGGTTTTAATTTATTTGATATGTTTTTGCCGCGTAGAGTTTCCATCGTTCGCGACTACCATGAGTGATCGTCGCCCGTGTGTTTGCTCGTTTTTCTACACTGTGTGTTTTCTG